CCTTCATACGCTCCTGATCACTTCTGCCGTGAAACTCATTTTTGCCTCTCCGAGATTGAGAGGCCACACTATCGCCACACTATCGCCATCTGTCTAAACTTCGTTTCCCTAAAATTGACAGCTGATCGCTTCGTATTCGCGAACCTTAATTCCGGGCGTTCAGTGCATCGAATCTTTCCGGGAAACATCGCGAAAAATGTAATAATTGTGTTCACGGGCCGGTAATTGGGTCTCGCGAGTGAGAAGTGGATGTGTAAATTGTGGGGAGTATTTTTATTCCGCAGTGATTGAGCCGCCATATTTTTCCCCAAACGATCATTGGAGAATTGATCTTGGTGAAATCTAGGGGGTATCTTTGAACGTAATTTACACGTTCATTCCTCAATTTCCCACCCCTGAGACCTCATTACCGGCCCGGCAAAAATAATTATCTGTCGATTGACCCTACAATTATATTTTTTGAGGGTCTACAGGGGCTGACATTTTGTTCCCCGTAAAACGCGTTTTTTCTAGGGAATTCCCTAGGGACATGTCGGGCCAAAATCCCTCCACCCGGGCCTTAATACCCAATATAAACACAGACACAGATCAGTTTAAAATCGATAACAATCAATATATGCAACAATATTACTATGTAACGTAGCAAAAATACAATTTGAAAATCGCAAAATGGACTTTGTGCAAACGGACTTTTTGCAACCAGCCATTCAACATTGAGGAAATAGTAGTTTATGCAAGAAGAAAAATTGCATTTTACTACGGTAAAGATAAAAGAAAATCCAGTATCGCAAGACGTTATTAATATTCTAATACTTACTTCGGTTATTCATAGAAAAATAGGAAAAAGCTTAGTAATAGGCACAAAATTGGAATTTACTGTGATAAACAGAAAAATGTCAAAAATCACACAATCACATAAAGAGGAGATAATTTTAGGATGTTTCTAAATCCAAGTATGGTCCGCCACTGTAATGCTAACAGCAGTTCTTTCTTTAAATTTCTTTCCATGTATTCTGCATCAACCCTAATTTTCCTCCCTTCATACGAATGCCAAATATTTCTGGCCAGCAGGTTCAACTCTGGGTATTGAATTCCACCCATGCGCCTTATGTACGCTAGGGCTCTCGTATTGTCAACTCGGAGTTATATTTCGCAATCTGAGCACTCGAATGCGAAGGACCGAAGAGCATGGAGAGCTGCTAAAGTAGTTAAACAGGGCGGGTTCTGGATTAATTCCAGCGCCCGCCCCTAGGTGGCAGCATGGTCATTGAATTTTCTCGATGATGATATCATCGATGCGTCATTATGGTACGTTTCGGAGGGGTAAGGTCATGGATGAGCCGTCATGGAATGTTATGGAAAGGATGACGTTATCGATGAGTCATCATGGAATGTTTGGACGGATGATCTCATCGATGAGTCATCATGGAGTGTTCTGGAAGGATGATGTCATCGATGAGTCATTATGGAATGTTCCGCTTCACCACGAGGTGTCGCCACGATCGCGGAAGGTTCTGGAAGGATGACGTCATCGATGAGTCATGAGTAGGTGGCGCTACGATCGCGGAAGGTTCTGGAAGGATGACGTCATCGATGAGTCATGAGTAGGTGGCGCTAGGATTGTAAACACTTTTAGGGGTTGGGTTATCAATGAGTGATCGGTTAGCGCAGAGTGGGGGTTTCCTGTAATTCCCCAGACAGATGTAATTTGATTTAGTGGAATGATGTCATGCAGAACATTCTCGAAATGATTCGTTATTGTGAGGGAAGTGTATATCGCAGAGAACCTGTGGAATATTTCACCTATTGGGATCGTGATGAACAACGCAATGAGGGTAGCCTGATCGTGAATGAATTCTCACAACATGAGTGACTCCCATTAGTCGTTTCAGATTTCCACGGCAGGTTTGAATCCAATTCTGCGAAAAAGAGATGGTAGAATGTCTGTGATGAGGATAATTCCATCACAGTCATTACATTTATTTAAAGTGGCCGACGGCTGCGCTATATAAGCCATTCGCTTCACATGATCTGCAGCCAGTTTGAAATCATGTCCGGTTCATTACAACTCACGATTGTCCTGGAACTTATCATTATTTCGTTTGTCCTAGTTTTACAATCGGGGCAACTCTGCTATTATTCTCGTAGATGAAGCGCTTTATAAAAAGAGAAGAAATCATTAACACATTATTTTGGTTGGATCAGTGAACAGCAGAAAGACATTTGCCGATATGTGTTGTCATAATCCTCATGTTGATCACTTGAAAACTGCAGAAGAGAGCAATACTGAAGAAGATCTAATAAATGAATATTTTGATGAATATGCTCATCAGTTTGCGGAATATCTTACCGCCGATTTGGAATGCTTATCGAGTAATTATGAGACATTGAAAGCTCAACGACACCCTGAAAGAAGATCTATTTGCTCTCATTGTATGGAGCAGTTTAATGATTTATCACAGATCATTGAAAGTATTGATGGATTACAAAACCTAAAGAAATTCTGTGAAAATCTGAAAGAGAAGATAAAGAATGTGGTGGCTGATGATGATGAACCATTAACAATCAACGAGATACAATAGTTGCACTCCGTTCCACCATATTGTTTGCATGAGAGTGATGTTGTAACCAAACTATTAATTCATGCACCACCTAAACTTCCACCAATTGATCGCTTCATTCATCACATCCGCAAGAACTTTACAGATCTGTGTTCCAGCTTCCACCCTGCTCAATTACCAAAATGTTCTCCTTGCGCGATTTTCTCCTTATCGCACAATTTGCAGATGATTAAAGACAATTCTAAAAATATGCAAGGAATGATTGAACTTTTCAGTTTTGAATATGATGTATTTTTGCGCCCTCATAGTTATTCGATGGTGGATTTAGTCTAAAATTGAGAAAAGTCCTACACACATGGATGATCAATGAGAGGAGGGGAAGAAAATCAGTTTCAACCCTGAACCACGAGTGCATGTGATGTTGCATTGGGACTATGCACACCGATCTGCCCGTCAAGGTCCATGGGAGCAGTTAGCACGAGACCATGATCGTTTCAAACGTCGAATTAATTTCTGTGAAAAAATATTGAATCCTGTCTTACTAAACCAATATTGACAAACTATTCTTCAAACTCGTTTCACATAGATTCTATAGTAATGCTTATAAAAGGATGGTATGTATAATAATAGTAAAACGAAAATTTTTTGAAAATATATTTTAATCATTTGTTGTCAGTACACATTATTGTACTCATTTAATTTTATACCACACATTACCTACTGTACCATAACTTCCTGCATTCACCGGATCCTTATACGAAGGACTTCCTTCCATATATACATCATATGCTTTTTTGATGAAGTAGTTGCTTTAGAAGGTAGTGCAGAATCTGATCATCATCATCATCATATTTATGATTTCCTAACTTGGTTGTTTACATTAGCTTTTGATTCCACCACTGATAGGATTGTATTGAACAATTCGATCATGGAGGATGAGGCAGTAAGCTGATGTATGGGGTGGGAATGGTGAAGCTGGCTCGAATTCAATACGAATATCAACGGGGCCACTCTTCAGATACTCGTTTTGTTTCGAGCAATCGACAACAATCAATGGTGCCTTCTCCAAGAATTCAGATCTACTTAATAACGGCTCCATCTTCTTGCCATAAAATGAGTCTTGGAAGTTCACATACATATTGTACAATGTGGAACATTGATTATGATTAATATCAAGATTCAAATTGCCGTACGGATAACTTTGCGAGTTTGAAAATAATTTTACATCCCGCATATTGCAATGATCGAAGGTGCTGGCATTAGTCGTTGGAGTTTTTCGTGCTGTCTGGAATCGAAGGATCACGTATCGTGGTTTCTCCAATTGATTTGATGTTTTCACCACCCAAACATGCTTTGGGGCTATAGGAAGTAGAGGATATTCATACAATTCCCAAGTTCGGAATCCTATTCCAATAGGCATATGTTTCGCAATAAAATTGAGCAATTTTACCTTGCGTTTATCAGAAATTTTAATATAGGGAATTAACCATTCAATTTTTTGTAGAGTAATCTTATATTTCTCCTCTGGATTTGCAACTGTAATTGGTCGTTGAAGAACAACATTAACATCAGTCTTAGATCTTGTGAGGACAAGTTCATGTTTCGCATTTACAATCCCTTTTTGATAATCCTCAGCAAAACCAAGGATTAAACTCAATGGTATTGAAATATCGAAATATCCATTTGCATTTGTTATCATCTCATCACTATCCACATCATCATCTTTCAACTAACCAGCATTCTCCATCAATGACCATTGGTTGGGGCTTTGTGAAATGTAATTCTTCATGAGACTCGTTAAACCAACATTCTTGGCACGATCAATTTCCATACCATTGAGCTCATAACGAATGTCCTCAAATAAATGACTGATGGCATTGTTCACCAATCGGGTTCTTTCAACGGGGGTTGTACCGTTTTCCTTAGTTAATCGTCCATGAATGTGAAGATGACTTTTACTAGGTAAAAGGCATAAATCCTGATGTTGCACGGTTATCGAAATTTCATCATTGTTACCGAATGATGATGAAGCGAGTGGTTGATGAGCATGCATTTCATAATGAGAAATAGTCTCATCAAATTCAACCGATTTCTGGATTCTCAGTATATGTTCCATGATTTTATATTTTCCGCACTCACGGCTTCAAATTTAAGCTTCTAAGGAATTGAATATTCTGATGTGTTAACTGGTTGCTAGTCCGGTGCTGACTGTGAGCTTGGCAACTTGATAACGTGCTTTTATAATTCTGTCCAATTTTGTTTCTGAACACAATACCCATTATGTTCACTTCAGATGGAGTCTTATTGTTACTGTTTCACCTTGAAAGTTCACTAATTCACCATCTTGATCTACCAACTTCAGCTGAAGATGATCTATTGCTTGCACAGGGATCGGTAGATAAATGAGGTTTCTCGGGGCTTCCACAATCTTATATCCTGGTGGTACTCTGGGGAAAAATTCATGAAGTATGTGCACTTTTCTCCAATGCATATAGGCACCACGTGTGATGTTACACTGCACAAGTAAAGAATTAATTTTGAGAATTTTTACAGGTAAATCTGATATGTGAGTTCTGTCTGGCTGCAAAATTTTCTTATCAAATCCCAGTATCAGACCAATAGAATCCACAGGAATGAAATTTATTGCATGGCTACTTTTGATTTCACTACATAATGTATTATTATTTGCTTTCAAAGCAATAGACACACCATTTCTTTGCAAGACCTTTTGCAAATAGTTTTGTATATCATCAATTTCATAACTACCGATAGGAATTATGATTGAATATTCTTTTTCCCCATCAGAATAATAGAATTTATTGTTCCCCTCATCAATATTTGCAATTGAGTTGAATGTTAACAATTCCACAAGACTCAAACTGTGTTGATGATTAGGACACAACTCCATCGAGGGAAAATAATGAGCTTCCAAGATCGAAGACGTTCCTGATAATGTAAGTGTGAAAGATTCACCCATAGTTGCTGTTTTCGAACTGAACTAATTCATACATATCATCTGTATTTATACATTATCATTGAGAAATTGGAGACACAAATGTCCACAAGTAATAGTATCATATTCTCGGTATTTCTCGTGATTATATTTCGCAATGCTACCAACACCGAAATAATCCATCAAATCTTTCGGTGGGTGTAAATTTCCAAACTATCAAAATAATTTATTTCATTTTTATCCGTTTATATGCCACCCAGTGAGTACCAGGACCATCTCTATCATCTAAATTGACGAGAGCTGATTCGTTCTTATGAGGTCCATTTATAGGAAGAGCGTTCCTCATATAAACTCCCCGAAAATATGGAATTTTCATGAGTTTGGAGAAATTTATAATATCAACATCACTGACGGCTCGGTGTGGTAGCTTTATTAGTTTTTTGGTTTCAAGTAAAGCCCTAATCCTCTTTTTGTAGGACTTCAAATAGAGACCATCAACCATTGCAATTGCTTCCATTGATTTATTGTGACGTTTAGCCCCTTCAAGACAACGTTTAGCAGCATTCGCATCATTAACAGGCTTCGATATACCTGCGGCGTCTCCGGTCAAAGCTCCAGTTGCACTTAACCCAGCAAATAAGGGAATCAAGAAGGGTAGAACTCCACCAATTTTTCCGGAGACGGGTAGTATTCTTGGTGATTTTACGGAATACTTTCCTCCAGCTGCGCGGACAGCGTCTCGTGCAGCCTGAAGAGCCGACTTGATCGCATCCCCAGGACATATGGATTGTTTTGCTACTTTGATGATTTGTTTTAAAGCAACCCGTTTTTTTTTCCAACTCCGCCACCACATGTTTTCTTCGATTTCTTTACCAGACTTTTTCCACATTGTGTTGATTTTTTTTACGCTTTCACCCCCCTTGTCAATCCAAATCCTAAGCCAGTTTTAGTTTTCATAGCATTAGCTACTGCCCAATCAGCAGCTTTCTCACTCCACCTGGCGTCTTTTGATAATACACGTCTCCACGCACTCTCTTCCAATTTTTTAGCAGCGTTATGGCTAGCCGTGACATTCTCTCGATTCTTTGAATAAGCGATATCGTGTTCCTTACAAGGTTTATCTAGAAGATTCTCTGCAGGATCACCGCGAGCTAACCTCTCAGTGAGCTTTGTGCCTGGCCCACAATATTGATAACCGGGGATATGTAGTTCAACAGGCAATTTATTGATTATCTTATTGATTACTCCCCTTACGCTTCTCTTATGTCTTCTTACTATCGTCGCTCATGCTCAACTAAATGTGAATGCTACATAAACCCACTATTGATATGCCATGATCTTAGTGTTGAGGTAATACCTAGCGAGGATGAAGTTCGCAGAGAAGAAAGTCAGATTACCAGTCCTGAATTTCGATCAAGTAATACAGAATGTAGATGATGAATTGAAAGAAAAACGTCATTGTGAATTACTACCGAATACAGTACGTGCCATTTTTTGTGGACCTTCCAACTGTGGAAAAACGAATGCACTATTGGCACTGATCACACATTCGAATGGATTAAGATTTGAAAATGTTTATGTGTGTTCTAAATCTCTGAACCAACCGATATATGAATTTCTCAGAAAAGTTCTGGAAGCCACCAACACAATTGGATACTTCCCATTCAACGAAGATGAAGAAGTGATAAAACCAGAAAATGCGCAACCCAATTTCATCATCATTTTTGATGATGTTGCATGCGAAAAACAGGATAATATGCGTGCTTATTTCAGTATGGGGAGACACCAAAATGTTGATTGTTTCTACTTATGTCAAACATATACGCGTATCCCCAAACATCTTGTTCGCGACAATACCAACTAATTGGTGTTGTTCAAGCAGGATGATAAGCATCTGCGACATATCTATGATGACCATGTTAATACGGATATGACTTATGATCACTTCAAAACCATATGTTCCTCCTGTTGGAATATTGATAAATACAGCTTTGTAGTGATTGATAAGGATAGAGAGCTGAATGATGGTCGTTACAGAAGGGCATTTAATTGTTTCATAAATATACAACACCCATGATTCTTTCAATCTGTCACATTCAGAGCATCACCATGACGAGTTCTATTTTGAATAAAGAGAAGCATATGTTAGAACAAATTGCTAGCGCGAGTGATGCTATTCGTGAGAAACATAAATTAATCAAATAGGGGAAGCAAGACACGGAGAAAACACTAAATGATGTTTTCAAACCAGTAGTTACATCATTACAAAAAATTGTCGATCAAACCACCCATGTCGGAAATCCCATGAAAATGGAGAAAATGAAAAAGGTCAAATTTCTCGAATCACCTGCTTCACGAAAACGAGTGGCAATATCAAATGACTCTGATATTCCCATTAAGATGCCGCGAATTCAAGAGACGGTTGACTCAAACATGTTGAAAAAAAAACCACCATCAGACTGGATAACGAATACCATTACACCATCATACTCCACCATGAAAATGAAAGATTCTGATGTTAGAGATGGTAATTCTGTAAAAAATTTCCATAATTTATCACAACAATATTTAGAGCTATTTGATACTACCGATTGGAGTAAAAAATTGGACTTGAGAACGGGCATTCGCAAGCATGGAGGTGATTTGGTGATTGGGATAAGACCCATCAAATTTGAAGGGGAAAAAAATATAATTAATGACGAACAATATGATCAAACTCAAGGACTTCTTGAAATATTATTCATGAAAGATCCTAATGTGAGGGTGATTACAGATGCTGATAAGAGAGCATTCACACAAATCGTGAAAACAACACATCTAGATAGACAATACTTTAATACAACGAGAGGATTGAAACGTCACAATCGAGAGAAGTTTGTGAATTTTATGATCCAGACTCCTCATGGGAAAGGTTTCTCTAATCAAATGATTGCTAGGGGGAAGCGCAACATTGATTATGTATACTGGGATGATCCAAATGAGTTGGCGGATGGCCATCGATTACTGTATGCATCGCAAGCTGCTGGCAATAATAATCATAATAATGAAATGACTTCCATCATAGAAGAGCTACGAGAGGCTAGATTGATATATTAGGAGTTGATACATACCAAAAAATATCAGTTACAAAATGAGTGTTGATGTGCTTGGATGACGTTTGAATGCTGATGGATCTACACCTCGGAATACTGCAGGGCCTCCAGGTCGAGGCTTCAAGCTTACAATAGATGGACAATTTGATATGCAAAACAAGCGATTGTGTAATATTGCGGATGTGGTAGAACATCATGATGCAGCTTCCATGAATGTTCTCAAGCGAGTGATTGAAAATTTGAAGATTGAATCACTACAAACACTCATGACGGAGAATGTCACAGCCATTCGAGCCATCAATGAGAGACTGCGATTATTAGAGGCTCTGGGTAGAGATTATTATGCTTTAGTTGAACGACACGAAGATGGTAATATAATAACAACACAAGAAATTTCGAATAGTAGTGAAAAAAAACGAGTGAAACGTGTCAAAAGAAATTCTAAACCATAAACTGATAATCATCCTGAGCATGAAACTGAAAACCCAACGAACAAAAAAGATAAGTTTCAGGTAGAAAAAGAAGTTCTAATTGAGGAGCTCCACAGACCTGCACGTAGGAATTATCCTCGACGTCGAGTAAAAATACGTGCTCTTGATGAAACGTAGCAAGCGGATCTTGTTGACATGTCAGCATATGCTAAAGAAAATGGAGGATATAGATTTTTACTAACAGTTATTGATATTTTTTTTTAATTTGCGTGGGCTACTCCAATCAAAACTAAGAGTGGATCAGATGTAACAAAAGCTATGAACTCTGTATTGAAACAAGGACGCATACCTCAAAAGCTACATGTTGATCAAGGAAAAGAATTCTATAACCAAGACTTTCAGCATCTTATGCTGCAATTAAATATAAAAATGTATTCGACTTATAGTAATTTGAAGGCATTCATTTGTGAACGATTCAACCGAACTTTGAAAGAAAGAATGTGGAAGAAGTTTTCGCTTCAAGGTTCATATAGATGGCTAGATATACTCCCTAGCATTATATCATCATATAATAATACAAAAGATCGAAAAATTTAAATGAAACCGAAGGATGTTAACAATAGGAATGAACAATTTATTC